TAAAGAATGCTAAACTATACTAGATATAAATTATAATATGCTAAATGAAACTATACTAAAGGATGGTAAACTATACTATATATAAATTATACTATGCTAAATGAAACTATACTAAAGTATCCTTTCTGTATGCTAAAGGACACAGAGAGGATACTTACAGAAGGTTAAAAAGATAATAGTGAAAGCTCGTGACTCTCTCCAGAGTCCTGACACAGCCTGGCACTGATTGGCCATTGAGTCAAAACAATTCACGTGAAAGCGATGAAACAACCTGTGGGTAAACGATCTCCAAAGCAGCAAAACACAGGAGAAGCAAATCAGATAATTACTGTTTTCCTTTTCCTCTGAGGCTTCTCACCTTCCCAGGAGAAAAATCCTGGGCAAAGGGGTTTTTCCAGGAAATGTGAAGGCCACACAGGGACCCCCAGAGCGGGGGCTGATCTCCCTGCTGTGTGTGGTGGGCCGTGGGGCAGGGGGTGACGCCGCTGCCTCCCCTCCATCCCCAGCATCGGCGGCTCCATCCCCATCGTCTTCTCCTACTTCTCGGAGTTCCTGGCGCAGGAGAAGCGCGGGGAGCACCTGAGCTGGCTCTGCATGTTCTGGATGATCGGGGGCATCTACGCTTCCGCCATGGCCTGGGCCATCATCCCCCACTACGGTAGGAGCCCTGGGCTGGTGGCACGCAGGGGGTGCGCCGGGGCTCGGCCCCACCACCGTGTCCTGTCCCTGTCCAGGCTGGAGCTTCCAGATGGGCTCTGCGTACCAATTCCACAGCTGGAGGGTTTTTGTCCTCGTCTGCGCCTTCCCCTCGGTCTTCGCCATCGGGGCGCTCACCACCATGCCGGAGAGCCCGCGCTTCTACCTGGAGGTGGGGTCTGGGGGGGCGTTCGGGGAATCGGGGGTGCATCAGGGACCTGGAGGGGGTCCCCAGGAAGGGACGCCCAGGGGGTGGTGAGGCCTGGACAGGAAGCCCCAGATGGGTTTTGGAGAGGGGTGGAACGGGGCAGGAAGCCCCCAAGTGAGTGATGGGACCCAGAGGGATGGGGGGGACCCTGAGGAGGTGATGAAGATGGGGGAGGGATCGCCGGGGGGGTGGCAGGACCCAGGTGGGTGGTGGAACCCAGGCAGGGACCCCTGATGGGGGGTCAGGGTCCAGTTTGGGGTGTCCCAGGGTGAGCTGTCCCTGCCCTCACAGAACGGGAAGCACGACGAGGCCTGGATGGTGCTGAAGCAGGTCCATGACACCAACATGAGGGCCAAGGGCCACCCAGAGAGGGTCTTCTCGGTAAGGACCCCCCAGGGCTGAGCCTTGGGGTCCCCAGCACCCCAGGCAAGGGTGGGGTGTCCCCCAACAGCAAGGGTGCAATTCCCACCTCTGGGAAAAGCACAGCCTGGGGAATGTTGCTGTAACAGGTGGGGAAACTGAGGCACAAGGCGGTGCTTCCCGGTGTCCCCAATCTGTCCCACCCACAGGTCACCCACATCAAGACCATCAAGCGGGAGGACGAGCTCATCGAGATCCAGTCGGACACGGGGACGTGGTACCGGCGCTGGCTGGTCCGATGCCTCAACCTGTCCCAGCAGGTGAGGCCGGGGCCACGCAGGGCTCTCTGTGCCCCCTGTCACCTGCCATGTCCTTGTCACCCCCCGTGTCCCTCTGCAGGTCTGGAGCAACTTCCAGCAGTGCTTCGTGCCCGAGTACCGGCGGGTGACGCTGATGATGATGGCGGTGTGGTTCACCATGTCCTTCAGGTGCTGCGGGGTGGGATGGGATGGGATCAGGGGAATGGGATGGGATGGGATGGGATGGGATCCATGGGATGGGATCATGGGATCAATGGGATGGGATGGGATGGGATGGGATGCATGGGATGGGATGGGATCCATGGGATGGGATGGAATGGGATGGGATGGGATCAATGAGATGGGATGAGATCCATGGGATGGGATGGGATCCATGGGATGGGATGGGATCAGTGGGATGGGATTAATGGGATCCATGGGATGGGATGGGATCAATGCTATGGGATGGGATCAGTGGGATGGGATTAGTGGGATCCATGGGATGGGATGGGGCAGCACCGAGCGGGATGGGATGGAACAAGCATCACTGGGCTGGCACAGGGAGCTCAGGGCTGGTTCTGGGAGCCCTGGGCCAGCTCTGGCGAGCCCAGGTGTGTGGTGCCCGCTCACCCCTGTCCCCGCAGCTACTACGGGCTCACCGTGTGGTTCCCGGACATGATCAAGCACCTGCAGAGCATCGAGTACGCGTCGCGCACGAAGCTCTTCACGCGCGAGAAGGTTCGGCACTTCACCTTCAACTTCACCCTGGAGAACCAGGTGCACCGTGGCGGGGAGTATTTCAACGACAAGTGAGTGAGGGGAGGCTGAGCCTGGGGTTGCTGAGCTTGGGGCTGCCCAGCACAGGGGTGGGGGGCATCGGGGGTCTCCCTCCTGTCCCCCCGTGCAGGTTCATCGGGCTGAAGATGAAGTCGGTGACGTTCGAGGACTCGCTCTTTGAGGAGTGTTACTTCGAGGACATCACTTCCAGCAACACCTTCTTCAAGAACTGCACCTTCATCTCCACCGTCTTCTACAACACAGGTGGGGGAATGGGATCCCTGGGAGGGGGTGACCCACCAGGGTGGCCCCCAGATTTGATGGAGATGGGGGTGGGCCACCAGCTTGGAGGAAGGTCAGGAAATTCCTCAGGGGCATGATGGAGTTGGGATGGTAGAGATAATGTGACCCACCAGGGTGGCTCCCAGGGTTTTGGTGGAGATGGGGGTGGGCCACCATCTTGGAGGAAGGTCAGGAAAGTCCTCAGTGGCACGTTGGAGTTGGGGTGGTCGAGATAATGTGATCTCCCCAGGGTTTTGATGGAGATGGGGGTGAGCCACCAGCTTGGAGGAAGGTCAGGAAAGTCCTCAGTGGCACGTTGGAGTTGGGGTGGTCGAGATAATGTGATCTCCCCAGGGTTTTGATGGAGATGGGGGTGAGCCACCAGCTTGGAGGAAGGTCCCCAGTGGCACGATGGAGTTGGGGTGGTGGTAAGGACCAGGGTGGTCCCCAAGGAGGTGATGGAGGTGTGGTTGACCCACCAGGTGGGGTGGGAGAGGCCAGACAGGTGTGCACGGAGATGGGGTGACCCCGTGGCCCACTGTCCCCCCAGATCTGTTCGAGTACAAGTTCATCAACAGCCGGGTGGTGAACAGCACGTTCCTGCACAACAAGGAGGGCTGCCAGCTGGACTTCAGCGACGACAACAACGCCTACATGATCTACTTTGTCAGCTTCCTGGGCACCCTGGCTGTGCTCCCTGGAAACATCGTCTCGGCCCTGCTCATGGACAAGATCGGCCGCCTGCGCATGCTGGGTGGGCAACGGGACGGGCTGGGGGCAGCCTCGGTGGGGCTGGGGGTCCTGGAGGTGCCTTCCAACCCAAACTAGGCTCTTGGTCTTCTTGACCCACCACCAACACCTTTACCCTGTTGGTCACCCCACTTCCATCACCTTTTTGGGGACTTTCCTGATCCTCCTCCCACCCGTTGGTCACCTCCAACTCTGGTGACCTTTTGGGGACCTCCTGGTGGGTCACCCCCATCTCTTGACCCACCACCATCACCTTTATCCTGTTGGTCACCCCACCTCCATCACCCCTTTGGGGACTTTCCTGATCCTCCTCTCATCTCCATCTCTGGTGACCTTTTGGGGACCTCCTGGTGGGTCACTCTCATCTCTTGACCCACCACCATCACCTTTACCCTGTTGGTCACCCCACCACCATCACCTTTTTGGGGACTTTCCTGATCCTCCTCCCACCCGTTGGTCGCCTCCATCTCTGGTGACCTTTTGGGGACCTCCTGGTGGGTCACCCCCATCTCTTGACCCACCACCATCACCTTTACCCTGTTGGTCACCCCACCACCATCACCTTTTTGGGGACTTTCCTGATCCTCCTCCCACCTCCATCTCTGGTGACCTTTTGGGGACCTCCAGGTGGGTCACCCCCCACCTCCCTCTCCCTTTTGGGACTGTCAGCCCCGCCCAGTCCCACCTCGTGCCTCAGTTTCCCCACGCTCTGACGTGTCCACGTGTCCCCCAGCCGGCTCCAGCGTCATGTCCTGCATCAGCTGCTTCTTCCTGTCCTTTGGGAACAGCGAGTCTGCCATGATCGCCCTGCTCTGCCTCTTTGGGGGGGTCAGCATCGCCTCCTGGAACGCGCTCGACGTGCTCACCGTGGAGCTGTACCCCTCTGACAAGAGGTGGGGGCCTGGCACGGAGATTTTGGGGGCAAGAAGTGAGGTTTTGGGTGAAAGGAGTGAGGTTTTGGGTGCAAGGACTGAAGTTTTGGGGTGCTGAGGTGCCCATTTTAGGGTTTGGAGCTCCCATTTTGGGGTGCTGGGTGCCCATTTCAGGGCTTTGAGTTTCCATTTTGGGGTGCTGAATGCCAATCTAAGGGTTTGGAGCTCCAATTTTGAGGTGGTGGATGCCAGTCTAAGAGTTTTGACTTCCCATTTTGGAGCCCTGGGTGCCCATTTCAGGGCTTTGAGTTCCTATTTTGGGGTGCTGGGTGCCAATCTAGGGGTGTGGAGTTCCATTTTTGGGGTGCTGGATGCCAATCTAAGGGTTTGGAGCTCCAATTTTGGGGTGCTAGATGCCAATCTAAGGGTGTGGAGTTCCAATTTTGGGGTGCTGAATGCCAATCTAAGGGTTTGGAGCTCCAATTTTGGGGTGCTGGGTGCCCATTTCAGGGCTTTGAGTTCCCATTTTGGGGTGCTGGGTGCCAATCTAAGAGTTTGGAGTTCCAATTTTGGGGTGGTGGATGCCAGTCTAAGGGTTTGGAGCTCCAATTTTGGGGTGCTGGATGCCAGTCTAAGAGTTTTGCCTTCCCATTTTGGAGCCCTGGGTGCCCATTTCAGGGCTTTGAGTTCCTATTTTGGGGTGCTGGGTGCCCATTTCAAGGCTTTGAGTTCCCATTTTGGGGTGCTGGGTGCCAATCTAAGGGTTTGGAGCTCCAATTTTGGGGTTCTGGATGCCAATCTAAGGGTTTGGAGCTCCAATTTTGGGGTTCTGGATGCCAATCTAAGGGTGTGGAGTTCCATTTTTGGGGTTCTGGATGCCAGTCTAAGGGTTTGGAGCTCCAATTTTGGGGTGCTGGATGCCCATTTCAAGGCTTTGAGTTCCCATTTTGGGGTGCTGGGTGCCAATCTAAGGATTTGGAGTTCCCATTTTGGGGTGCTGGGTGCCAATCTAAGGGTTTGGAGCTCCAATTTTGGGGTGCTGGATGCCAATCTAAGGGTTTTGACTTCCCATTTTTGGGTGCCAATCTAAGAGTTTTGCCTTCCCATTTTGGAGCCCTGGGTGCCCATTTCAGCCTTCCAGGCGCCAATTCCATGGTGCCACCCGCCCTCTGCAGGCACCCACGAGGCTGGGCACCCACCCCTACCCCCCGAGGGGTGCCCCCCACCAACCCCATCCCTCCTCACCCTCCTCAGGACGACGGCGTTTGGCTTCCTGAACGCTCTGTGCAAGCTGGCAGCCGTGCTGGGCATCAGCATCTTCACCTCCTTCGTGGGCATCACCAAGGCCGTGCCCATCCTGTTCGCCTCAGCGGCGCTGGCCCTCGGCAGCTCCCTGGCCCTCAAACTGCCCGAGACAAGGGGGCAGGTCCTGCAGTGATGGGGGGCTGGGGGAGAGGGACCCCCCACCCCCCCACTTTGCCCGGGGTGCCCCCCAAATCCAGCGTTTCCCCCCACCCCACCACCTCCCCTTCCCTCTCCTCGTGCCCCTGGGATTAGTCCTTTCTAATCAATGTGCAGGACACTTGCATTCAGATTTGCTCTCTTACTGCTGTCCAATCTGCTTGTGGTGAACCTCTTACTTCCAGTGCCCAGTGACCAGTTCCCAGCTCCACAGAGGGAATCACTATGACACCTTTCTTCTATCTTTCTTGGATATTTTGCAGCATGGCATTTTATTAGTGTGCTGGGAATACTACGGAGCTTGAAGCACGGTGAGAGCAACAAGCATGGGAAGGCTCTCTGAGGTGCCACTCAGCTGTGGGGTTTGATGGTAAAGTCAGTCTAAGGATTCCTGCCCATTTCATCTGCTTGTCCCTGTCTGTGCACCGCAATTCACTGCCCTGTCAGTTGTTCCACTCTGAATTTTTCTGAAAGATGCTGAAAGCAGATCAGGGAACTTACCTAGTTAAAAGTAAGTCTTCTCTCACCAACGTAATTTCTCATTCAGGTCAATGCATAGATAAGGACAGTGTGGTTCCATCAACAGATCTTAGCACAAGTAAGATCTCACAAGGGCTGTGAGACAGCCCAGGGGTGGAAAGAAAGAGTTTGGGTGATCTTAAATTAGTTTAGCCATCATTTCATTTTGCTGTAGCCTGAGCAAAACTTTGTAGACTGGAGAAGCATTAAATGTTGTTATACGAGTCTGTGCTCCAGCTCCATTGTGAAAGTTTGCCCTTCTGCAGGATTTTTGATCAAGTACCATAGCAGCTCTTTGCAAACATTAAGTGTCCCTACAACACACCTGGCAGGCAGATACAATATCCTCTTATCAAATGGGAAAAATGAACTGCATAGCGATCATGATTGGCTCAGCCATGCAGCATGAACCAACAGGAGAGGCAGCAAGAAGTAGAAAGTCCCAGCTGCTGGACTGATGTTTTGACTACCAGGCTTCTGCTGGAAACCAGTGGCCACTTGCAGTAACTGCTAATACAGAGATGCTTCAAGCAGCAATAGGAATGGAATAAGGAGTAACAATGATACAACTTGCAGATGGCTTTCATTAAACAGAGTTTATATTGGATTAAAGACACAATTTTGAGTCTTCAGCAAAACTGCTTGAAATAGTTTAATCTAATCTTGAAGCGGCTTTTTGACCAAATCAAACATTTTGCTGCAAATTTTGCAATTCCATTGACAGTTCCTGGGGGATTCTGTGTTTGAAAAAAAAAAAAAAAAACCCCAACCCCCCCCCCCCCCCCCAAAAAAAAAAAAAAAAGGATTCTCCAGCCCCAGCTGCCCACAGAACACGTTTATTTAAATTAATTCAGATTCAATGGGAGGGACACCCCAAAAATCCCACCAGGGTGGGAGCAGGGAGGGGGTGGCAGGGTGGGCCCAGCCTGGGGGTGCTATGGGGTTTGGGGGGGTCACCCCCATTATTTTTGTCCCCTCCCAAACACCAGGGTGGGAGTCCCGTGAGCCCCACACAGTTCTTGAGGGGGTCTTGTTTTTCCTGGGGGGCTTCCCAGGAGCCCCACACTGTTCCTGGGGGGGTCCCGTTGTTCTTGGGGGGGTCCTGGCAGCCTCACAAGGTTCCTGGGGGGGGTCCCAGGAGCCCCACGTTGTTCTTGGGGGGGGGATCCTGGCAGCCCCACACAGTTCTTGAGGGGGTCCTGTTGTTCCTGGGGGGCGTCCCAGGAGCCCCACACTGTTCCTGGAGGGGGGGGGTCTCGTTCCTGGGGGGGGTCCTGTGAGCCCCACGCTGTTCCTGGGGGGAGGGTCTCGTTCCTGGGGGGCTTCCTGGCAGCCCCACACAGTTCTTGGGGAGGGGGTCCCGGCAGTCCCACACAGTTCTTGGGGGGGTTCTTGAGTGGGTCCCGTTGTTCCTGGGGGGGCTCCCAGAGCCGTCACTGCTTCCCCGCCGCCTCCTCCTCTTCCTCCTCCCCGGCCCCGCGGCGTTTCTCCCTCTTGGAGCCCCCCAGGCAAGGGGGCGCGGGGGGGTTTTGGGGGTCACCCTTCCACTGCTCGGGGGTGCGGGCGGTGACCTGCAGGGCGTGCAGGGGCCCGGCCAGCTCGGCCCGCAGCGCCTCGTGCACCAGGCGGTGCCGCTGCAGCAGCGGCAGCCCCGCGAAGCGCCCGCTCACCACCAGCACCCCGAAATGAGTCTCGGCTCCGGGGGGGCCCCCGTGGAGGGGGGAGTCGTCCCGAATTTCCAGGTGAGTGGGTTGGAGGGCCGCCGTCAGCTTGGCACGGATGGCGCGGGCCAAGGGACCCCCCGTGCCCCCCATGGCTGCCCCGGCGGCCGCAAGGAGGGGACCCCGCATGGGAGAAGGGCTGCAAGAGAGAGGGGGGATTTGGGGGTGCAAGGAGAGAAAGCCCCCCAGGAGAGGACCCAGCACCAGAGAAGGGCTGTGCGATTTGGGGGTGCAAGGAGAGAAACCCCCCAACCCCCAGCATTAGAGAAGGGGTGCAAGAGAGAGGGGGGATTTGGGGGTGCAAGGGGAGAAACCCCCCCAGGAGAGGACCCAGCACTGGAGAAGGGCTGTGGGATTTGGGGGTGCAAGGGGAGAAACCCCCCCAGGAGAGGACCCAGCACTGGAGAAGGGCTGTGGGATTTGGGGGTGCAAGGAGAGAAACCCCCCCAGGAGAGGACCCAGCACCAGAGAAGGGCTGTGCGATTTGGGGGTGCAAGGAGAGAAACCCCCCCAGTCCCCAGCTGCCACCGGAGGAGTTTGAGGATGTTTTGGGGGGGCTGAGAGGGTGGGGTGGGGGACAGGGATGGGGACTGAGGGGTCTCAGAAGGGGGGCACGTGGAGGGGTGACCTGGGGGGGCTCTGCCAGGTCAGCCACCGTTATT